GTAAGGATTAAGCAAGCCAAAAAGCGAAGAATCAGTAAGCAAAGTCAAAAGATTGGTAAGTATTGGCAATAGGTGAGTCAAAGACAGTCAGAATGTCACAGTATGAGTCAAGCAATGTCAGGAACTGGGAAAGTGCACTGGAATCACATTAGGGGGAGGCATGTGCATGTCACATCTCGAAGAGATCACTTCTAGGTCAAGATGGGATGACAGAGAGGCAGCAGCTGATCTGATGCTGATATAGTACATCCAAAAGTGGACAGGGTGAGTCAGATGTCAACAGGGGTCAAGCTTTGGGGGTCTGCAGGGTGACAGGAGCATAGGGGATCGCAACTTTCCCCCCCAAACCATCCTCTCAGTGACGCAAATAAAAACTTCATGAATGAGGCTCTGTTGGAAAGAGAGGATGAAGGGGGGAGTGTCTTCTGCCATATCTTGCAACAAGGAGGCAAGATGTGCATCATACTCATCATGGATGCAATCAGGGAGCGTGGAGAACAGTAGATTATACTGTAGCTGTTGCAATCTTGGAAGAATGATGGATGAGACTGGTATGAAGACATTGCAGGGAGCAGGGAGGAAGGATCCATATGCTTCTTGGACCAGAGAGACTGAAATGACCACATAAGACCTTTCCAAGTGAATGACAGACCTGAGGTGACCAAAGAACATCCTCCGAAAGGTCATACTGACAAAAAGAACACATGCTGTCCAAGCTGGATGGGCTGAGAGGGCACAGACTGAGGGTGGGATGTACCAGGATGCTTCAGGATGGAAGCTGGTAGGAACTTCCTGGTAGATATATGTAGCCATGGTTCCCTAGCAAAGGGGACAAGTGAAATGATTGACATGGAGGTGGCCATATCAGAAGAATTTAGCAAAATGAGCATCTTTTGGAGGGAGTGCTGTAGAAACATGTGGAGTGTGCAAATCCTTTCCAATTTTGGAAGGTAAGATTGCATGGCTGAGCACTACAAGTGAGTGTGGGAATGGTCCTGGTATCTGCAGAAACGGTGGAGATATGTTGAAAACTGGAATGCCATACATGGGCACTTAAGAATTTTAGCCAGCACTTAACTCACTCCCTTTCTTTTTCTCTGGCACTGATGACTTGTTCTTGTGCAAGGGATGACTGCTGACATTCCTGGCTGTCCTTCTTCACATGAGGGCTATGGTCTTCATCTCCATTCATCAGCTGTATCCATGTCCACCTCACCAAACACCTTTGGTGTGTGACACTGAGCATACTGACACAGCCACCTTCCTGATGTGTCTGGAGATGGCTGTTCTTGAGGCCCACAACAACCTTCTTGCAGCCAAGGCTGCCCAGGCCCATGTGGCAAAGTTGTCACTGCATCCCTGACCCAAGATTTTCAGTTGGGGACAAGGTTTGGCTATCTACAAAACATCATTGTCATGAGTATATTACTAATGGTACAAATCATGTAGCAAAGTTTATGCCACATTATGACAGTCCATACACTGTTGTGGTGGCTTCTCCTGAAACATCCTCCTACACCTTGGATGTGCCCCATGCTGCCCATGCATGCACCATGTTTCATGCCAGTCAACTATGCACCTTTGTGCCCAATGACACAGCACTTTTCCCATCCTACAAGTTACCTTGCCTGAGTCCTGTTGTCACTGCAAATGGGCAGTTGGAGAATTTGATTGAGTGAATTTTGGATGAGAAGCAGTTTGGATGGATGAAGAAATACCTGGTGTGGTGGTTGGAGTATGGTCCAGAGGATGACAAGTGGTTGACAAAGAATGACTTGGAGGACTGTGAAGTGTTGGATGTTTGGGAAAGGGAACACCCACCTTGATGGGTTGGAGGTCGAAACAGAGGATGAGGAAAGAGTAGGAGGAAGTTGCGATGAAGGAGGCTAGGATGATGAAGCATGGTTACTCATGCAGCTCATGTGCTCACCCCCCCATTGCTCCTTTTTTATGGGTTGGGTGGGTGTAAGCATACACTTACTACTCACACACCACTCACACTCACACATTGCTCACACTAACACATCATGGTATCACATCTCCTATCATGTCCCCATCTGGGCATGCAGATCCCCCCTGTGTTGCACTGTTTGTACACCCTGGGGTTGGTGCTGCCTGCATGCACAGGTCATATCTCTCTTTTCTCTCTTTCTCTCTTTCTCTCTCTCTCTCTCTCTCTCTCTCTCTCTCTGTGATTGCCCTGTATCAGTGTATATGCTTGATTGTCTAATCCACATGCCTGTCCACATTCTGTTGTGGTTGTGATCATTGAGTGTGCTCACCCCTCCATGGTGAGTTCCATATCCCCTACATTACAGTTACATTGTTCAGCCATAGGCAGCATTTGCCAATCAACTGCAAGCAACCCAGTGGGGAGTGCTTGAGCTGCCATACCACATAAGCACATTGCTCAGTGTCTGGAGTGAGATCCTTGGGACACATCCTTGACATTGCATTATGTACTTGACTGGAGATGGTACATGTGTTGCAAGTTCTCCATCTAAAACACATCTATGGGATTCCTAACTCTCCTGGTGCAGGCCAGTGCCATGCACTGACAATGACAGTAAGACTGCCAACAATGTTAGAACTAGCTTTCCTTGACATGAAATGTGGACTATGGTGGAGTATGTGGAAATGGAGGGAGGAGGGATAGGAACAAACTTTGAAGAGTAGATGAAAGCTGAAAAGATCTTTAGGTCAAGCCACAGGTCCCACATATGTCCCACATGTTTCTCAGATTCACCATAGCTTATGGCCTGTGTGTGCTGACCTTGAGAAGGAAGAAGGGTGATTCATTGTAAATATTATACTCTCAGAATTGATATGTTTGATAACTACATAATCACAGCAAGGTGCTGTCACTCCATAGGTCCAGATACTTTTACCCATTTCCTATGCATCCACTGAGTCACTCATGTACTGGACTCTGAGCACCTCCCAGCACAATTTGAATGGTCTCGGTGCATTGGCAGTGTTTGACTGCAATGTCAGAATGTATCAGCCATCATCCTGCTGAAACCAAGTGAATTCATAACAGCAGTGAACAGTACTGCCAGGTCAGTTAACTGCCAATCTTGTCCTCCCCTCAGGTTCACACATGTTGCAGGTTGTTCAAGCATCTATCCACCATTTAATTGAACTCCCCTCTAATGTACATCCTGACCCCATGTAGTCCATTTAGTCACAACATATAGGTAGCCTGCATGCCAAAATGCCAACACTTATATAGACCCCACAACAGGGCCTGTCTAAATAGATTAGCCATGACACATGGACAAGCCTGAGGGCCTATAGTGAGAGCAACATATGTATGGGCCCATAAGCACAATTCCACAACATATGGAGGGCCTGTGGAGGGCAAGGATGCTGCAACATATAGGACAGGCCCATGACCAAGTAAGTATGCTGAGCTACTGTAAGACATAGGATGGGCCCATCCATGGTAGGGTGTGCCCCAGTCACGATATCAGGATGGGCCTGCCTATTGTATCATGAAGAAGGTTGCAACATATGGACAGGCCTGCCCATCATATGCTTTATAGGGTCACAACATAAAGAGGGGCCCCTCTATGATAGATTACAGAGTTGGCAACATATGGAAGGGCCCATCTTTGGGATAATATACCCCTGTCACAACATAAGGATGGGCCTGTCAGTAATATCATTGACAGCATCACAACACATAGATGGGCCCATCTAGTCAGATGCATCCCTGCCACAACATAAAGACAGGCCCATCAGTAATGTCATTTATAGCATCACAACATATGGATGGGCCCTTCCATAATACCATTTATACCATCACAACACATGGGCAGGCCCATCCATAGTAAGATGTACCTGTCACAACATAAAGACAGGCCCTTCAATATATATCATTTACAGGGTCACAACACATGGATGGGCCCATCTAGTAAGATGCACCCACATCACAACATAAAGATGGGCCTTTCAGCAATATCAATTACATGGTCGCAACACATATGCCTGTCACAACATAAAGATGGGCCTGTCAGTAATATCAATCACATGGTCACAACACATGGACAGGCCCATCAATAGCAACATGTATGCCTGTTGCAACATAAAGACAGGCCCATCAGTAATATCATTTACAGTGTCACAACACATAGATGGGCCCATCCAGTAAGATGCATGCCTGCCACAACATAAAGATGGGCCCATCAGTAATATCATTTATAGTGTCACAACATATGGATGGGACCTTCCATAATATCATTTATACCATCACAACACATGGGTGGGCCCATCCATAGTAAGATGTACCTGTTGCAACATAAAGACAGGCCCTTCAATATATATCATTTACAGGGTCACAACACATGGACAGGCCTGTCTAGTAAGATGCACCCATGTCACAACATAAAGACAGGCCAGTCAGTATTATCAATTACATTGTCACAACAGATGGACAGGCCCATCTAGTAAGATATGCCCCTGTTGCAACATAAGATGGGCCTGTCAGTAATATCATTTACAGTGTCACAACACATAGACAGGCCCATCTAGTAAGATGCACCCCTGTCACAGCATGAAGATGGGCCCATCAGTAATATCATTTATAGCATCACAACATATGGAAGGGCCCTTCAGCAGTATCATTTATGTGGTCACAACCTAAGGATGGGCCCTTCAGCAGTATTATTTATATGGTCATAACATATGGATGGGCCCTTCAGTAATATCTTTTATATTGCCATAAAACAAGGACAGGTCCATCTAGTAAGATCCACCCCTGTCACAACATAAGATGGGCCCAACACCAATAGCATGTATAGTGTCACAACATATTGATCAGATCACAGTAAAATATTGAGGCAAGCATCCTGACATGTTGTAATTTTCCAACAAGCTGCAAGTGGCTTGCCTGCTATACAACTCCAACCTCATCCACCCCAAGCATGAATACTACACAAGACACATCTAAAACCCCCCATGGATGGTGAATGGAACTCACAGACTGCATTGCATCATACATGAAAGCCAGATTTCAAGAGGAGGTATTCAGCGGACCTTGTGCCCTTCCAGATATATTGATTCTGTTTCTGGTGTTATGTGAAGCAGATTGCATATCGTCAGTAATCTCACAGGCCTATCATTGCCCAAGTAAGTCCATCATAATGGTGCAATGGAAGTTTTCATCCTTCTGCAGTCAATGTTGGGAAAAATTGGGGTGGAAAAACCTGCAATGCAGAAGCTGCTGAGAGATACACAGAAATGACTGAGCCATCCATTCTGGTGACCAACTCAAATACCATCCATGTTTGGTATTTGCCAGATGCTCTCAGCCCAAAAAGAAGGGTAAGGGAATGCAGAATCTCATATTCTACTGACTTAATGCAATGGCAGGCCAACATATGGAACCACCTTCATCTTCTGAGGGAACCACTGTGGGAGAGCATAAAGGCTTCCCCACAGGCATGGCAGATGGACAAGTCATATTTCAGTGATAATGCTGAGTTGAAAGGCACCATCAACCTGTCACCCACATGGTTTCAACAGGGTCATGGGGTGGGTGATCATTTCTTGCCTTGTGAATAAAGTGCTCATCCATCTTGAAGCCCCAAAATGGCTTCCCAGAAGCCTCATGGCTGCTCAAATCCAGGACAGAAAACACTTCTACAAGGGAATGGGTTGACCAAATGTCTGACACCAATGCCCTGTTATCTGCAATCCTGCATGTCATCCATCTGTGAATGTATGCAGATGGCAGGGAAGCATTGATCTGCCTTGGCAAACAGGCAGAACAGCAGGCAGATTCAGATATGAACTCCATGTAGAGCAGCATGTCCATGATGGTGAATCAGGCAACTTGTTACCACAGGGATATCAATGGACAGGATCCATGGTATGACATGCTGGTAACCATGGGCAACTACCCACCCTTGGACTTTGTCATTCCAACATTGAATCTGCAGCTGTGCTACAACCCAGGGACAATCATTGCATTTTCAGGTTCAGCATTGGAGCATGGGATGGCAAGCTGTAGATGGTGACAGAGCATGCCTGGCATACTACATGCATGCCAATGTACATCAGTTGGTGCACATTCCCATGTGTCAATCACCATGGATGGACAACCTACTACCTAGACCAGTTGCAACTGGAGAACTGTTGATTTGAAACTGCAAAATTTAATGTAAGATTTAGTAGGCAATGCAGATCTCATATTTTATTAGGATATGCTGGCTCTTGAACTTTGGATGGGTGGTGTTGCCAAGATTTTGCAAATGGGCAGGTGCTTCAACATCATAGATTGGGTGGGTACTCAGAGCTACAGGGTGTGCATCATAAACTGCAAAAAAAGTAAACCTACTCAGGCCATCATGCAGATGGGTGGATTGTCAGACATTGTGCAGATGGGCAGGGGTTCAGACATCATGCAAATGGGCAGTATCTCATAAATGATTGACATTCACAGCAATGTATATACAACCAACTCCACAGTCAAAAACATGTAAACTATTGAAGCAGCATGCCCAACAACCTGCACAATGCCCACCACCTAGTGTAGAAATAGTCAATTTGTTGACCCTGACCATTGACAACATTAGCATGTTTCTGAATATTTTCAATGCAGTAGTTTACCTGCTCCTTGATATGGCCATCAAGACAGTCTGCAATTGGTGCCTCAGGCAATGGCCATAAGCCCTGGGCCATCATCAACTATTTGCAGTGAGGAGAATAAGTGGCATACCTTAAAAAAATCCCAGGCCACAGAAAACAATCCTTTGTCTTGCAATCTTTGGGAATCCACTGTGTATTCCTCAGAATGATATAGCCACCAAGGGAATGCAAAGCTGGAATTGGGATCAGCTGTGTGTGGGGTTCAATGCAGGATGATGGTGTTGATATTGTTGATTATGCAAAATGTGCTAAGGGGAATTAGCTGCATTTGCTTGCAGAAGCTAACCTCATCATCTTGATGTCTGAGGTATGCATGGTAGCACACTGGGAGGGGAGGAGTATAACTGGCACACAACACTGTCACCAGAATCAAGCTATTAAGCTGATTCTGAAGGAACTATGTATCAGTCCCACATTGTGAAAAATTGATGTAAAACCTACCAAGTCCATTGCTCGGTTTGCAAACCAATGTGTGGGCCATCCCGCAATATCAGCAGTCTGCTTCAGATGTACAGAGGCCACCTCAATCTGGCACACCAAGTAGAGGATACCCATCTCTACCACAGACTGGTGAGATGGGTGTGATTGGCTGGTGATGAATGGCTTGGGACAATCCTCAAAGGCAGAATGCAGATAATGAATGACTTCCATCGAATTGAGCATATCGATGAGTCAAAGGCCCTGAGAGGCTGCACCATCCTGGTCCCTTGCAACTGTGCCCAATTCTCTCACAATGGCATTTGCAGCCCACACAAGGTGCCTATTGAGGGTGGGATTGAACAGTGTGTCACTGGGAGTGGTGTTTCTGTGGTAGTGAGATACTGCAGCATGTAAGGCATGCAGGACTAAAATTATCAATGTCAAAGGTGTATCAGATTAAGCTCATGCCCTATACCTTGATCGCAACATGGAACAGGTGCCAATCCCCATTGTTCCATTTGAAGACATTGCTGTGCAGATGGAAGTTCACCTACATAATTGATGGATTCCACTGATCACATGAATAGAACCGAATAAATGCTCACCATTGCATATTTCTTCAAAAAGATCCCTCATCTCTGATCATTCAGGCATGCCCAAAGTCAAACAGTTTGCACCATTGTCCTCATCTGCTGCCAAGTCAAAAGATTCAACAGGTACATTTGAAATGAGTGGGGGAGGCATTGGTTCCCTCATATCCTGCAATTGAGCAAGCAGGTTAGTTGGAGAATCAGGTTGAGGAGATTGGTCCCTCAGATTTGATGATTTGCAGGTGATGGGCAGAGGAGATGGTTCCTGCACATTCTGCAAGTCTGCCAGAAAATTGACCTGCATAGTAACATCTTGTGCAGGTGTTGAAGACCTGCCCATCTTGTTTAATTTCTTGTGCATGACTGATGGTGCCAATGGTTCCCACACATTCAGAAATTGCTTGAGTAGATCCACATTCATACCATCCACTGGGGGAGCAGTTGGTTCCCATTCATTCAGGAACTGATTCATCAAGTTGTCATGTGGATCTATTACTAGAAAATTAGTTTGTTTGTTAGCTTGAAGGGCAATTGTGCCAACTCACCAGCCACGATTCCACCCCCTGCCAGAGTGGTTGGCTCCCTTTCCTGCAGGAACTGATTCAGCAAGCTTTTGCATGAATCTATGGCAAAAGAATGTTTGTTGTTTAGCTTGGAGAGAAATCATGTTCACTCGCCAGCCATGATATCCATGTTTGACCCTGCCATATCCACCCTTCCACTTGAGACAATTGGTGGAGGGGTTGGCTCTTGCAACTCATGCAGTTGTACTAGTGTCTCCTCCAGATTTTTGGACTGCTTCACACAGGAGCTAGATTGCCTTGGCTTGATTGGTCTTACATTAGCTGTGGATGGCTTAGGTTGCTGGATCCAACAATGAAGACAACCTCACCTTGATGACAGAAACGAACTTGGTGGGACTGTTCAGTGGACATATTTGATGATGATGGGTTCACTGATAGGTCAATGATCAATCAAGATTTAAACTTGTAGGAACAATGGTGAGAATATCATTCACACCATGGGAAGCAAGGTTGGACAATGGTGGATGGAGCCAAATTTTGGGTAACAGCAATACATGGGAGATGAGCAGCAATATCTCCCTACATAGATAGCTACCAGTCACTTCCACATGGCCAATACATAGACCTGTCCTGCTCAGCTCTCCACTCAATTGTCCTGCTCAACTGTCCCACTTAACTATCCCTCTCTCTGATATCAAAGATGCCTCTCACAACCACCATGGTGTCATGAGCTACCATACATGCCATACACTTGTATTCTAATGTGTCACACTAGGCTAAGCCCTCTATAGACCATACATGAGTTCCAAAAATGGTTTCTGCTCTGACTGTTTGAGGGATTTGACAACTACTTCCACTTCTGTTTGCTGCCTGTTTGCTTGCATGATCTCTTTGCATCAGGAGATGGAACATCTGCATCTGGCATTGCAGGGGTCTTTCTGACACAAGGTGACTTCCAGGTGCTCCCAGGGATGCCCTGTTTCACATTCATGGATGCTGCATTGGCAGTCACAGATCCATTATGGTTGGACTTGGACAAGTATTTGGCCCCAGGTTGACATCAATTCATGTCTGGCTCACTCAATTCTGACAGAGCCTGCTTAATATACAGTACAAATTTGTTAGCCATAACAGCTGATTCAACATGACTGAACTTGCCTGGTGTGTGTGCTTCAGGGCAGATTTCAGCTTTCTGCCTTTTTTTCTGCTCATTGACCCCTCCTCAGATGGGTGGTCAGTGAAAGGAATGCTCTCCAATCCATCTTCATCTGTGTATTCTGAGTGGTCCTGTAGTTCAGTTGTGTACTCATTCCCTGAGTGCAGATCAGGGTTTGCTGCGAATACAAGTTACAGTGGGAAGCTCACTATTCAAGGGTGTTGTCAATTTCTTTGAATTGGATAGGGTGGGCAAATAAGTGTCTTCATCAGCTTCATCATTGGAATCATGGCTGTTTCTTTCCCACCCATTATAGTCAGTTAGCACTTTATTTCATGGATGATGCACTGGGGTCTTTGCATGGGCTGGAGGTGCAGAGAGCCACTCACTATGGGAACCAGCACCTTTTTAGCAGAGGGACCATCTGTTCCAACATCACTTGCCTCAGCCTCACTGTGATCATAAAACTGTCATGTGTACTGTCATCCATGCTATCATCTGTGCTATCATCTGCCACTCCCTCTTCCTGTGCTATACCCTTGCCCTTGACATTTTTCCTTCCAGGATTCTTTTTGCATTTGGGGGCAGGTGTCTTTTGGTATTTCTGCTGCCTCACAACCTGGAGGGGTACCAAAGTTCTATCCACTGGTGGCTGCAGCTTGCCAGATTGATCAATCCATTTCTGAAATCCAAACACATCATTTGGATGGGATTCCTGTTGCTTGCACCAAAAGGACAGCAGCTGGGTAGCTGCTGTCATCCACATGTGACTTGGGTCATGGTCAAAAGTAAATCCTTCAGGAAGATGGCAGGCTGCTATCATTTCTGCGTGGTGATGACTGAAATTCTTGAACAGCACTGCTGATGAGGGATTTCCAGGTGCTAATCCTGATAGCACTCATCAGAGATTGAGGACACTAAATACTCTGGCCACTCATGGTAGTGAGCAGTCACAAATCTACAAACCATTTTTTGTAGTTGGTCCTGGCTAATGCCTGTGATTTCTCCTATCCAAATCTCTCCATTGGCATTTTTCACCAATTTCACAGAGTCAACCTTGCCCATCCTCATTGCTTTGGCTGCTGTCTTTTTCCAAGCATGTTTGGGACTTGACTCACCATCATGCTCAGGCAGTGTTCCTGGTTCCTCAAATGTTTCCCCAAGGTACTCTTGCCAGCTTCCTTCCAGTGTGTGGACATTGTTGAAGGGGATTCCATCTGTGATTTCATTATTGAAGTCCATACTGTCATTGCATGAGTCTTACCTAGGCCTAGAGGAGAATGTGGTGGACTCATGTGCATGCCTGTGTAGTTCCCTCCTCATTTTTCCACCCAGCCATACACACTATGTGCATTCTGCAATACCTCCACATCTCCATCACAAAGTCTCAGACATACTTGTACCCATACTTGGCTGCATTCCTTGGAACCAGGATAAATTGAAGACTGGGAAGTTGACCTCATACAATTGCACCTTGCTTTTGTCTCTGGCACAGGGCCTTCCCACCCATTCCACCTTTCTGCTATATCTTCAGCAGCAGCCAATTGTTCCTCCATCAGGTCATCCTGAATAAAAGCCATCAATGCATTCTGATAATGTTGGATCTGCTTGCTTCCATGGGTATTGCCTTCTTCTACTTTCATTTTTGCAAGCTTCTCCTGTATTTGCTTTTGGTACAATTTGTGGACCACTGCCCACACAGAGTATTTGTAACTGGATTTAAGGATAATGTGGGGCTTCTTTGAACAGAGGGGCTTTTTCAACCAATCTTGTGTTAGCTACGAGGGTGCTTTGAATTGTGAGCAT